TTTGAGTCTCTAAGGCAGAAAGTTGCCATCTTGGAGGTCTTTATGGGCTCATGCAAGAGTTATGGTCATTTTCATGGAAGTAGATTGTTATACTTTGATTTTGGGTTCATGTGGGTCATATAAGTCACCAAGTCAGTAACCTTATGGATTAAGATGTTGAAAAGGACTTGGATCTGTGATTGTAGCTTATGAAGTAGAGTATTAAGCACTTAATGGGAAAGTGGCTTAACATGGGAGTACGTTGAGCGTACATGCAGGTACGCCAAGTGTATGCATCGTTTGTTTAGTACGCTTAGCGTACATAGGAGTACGCCCAGCGTACTCATCAGATATGGGCCTTATGATTTTGGGCCTTGTGTTGGGCCAAGCAATGAACTTTGGGTCTTTGGGCCTTAGTGGACCATCAAAGGTCATATGTTTTGGGCCAAAAATATGTTTGGGCTTAGGGTAAGGCCCATTAGGGAGATTAGGCCCAATTTAGCAAATTGGGCCATTATTGGGCTAGTAGTTGGCTTAGAAAGCCTACCTAGTGTTGGAAATTTGTTTTTGGTTTGGGCCTTAGTGTTGGATCATATTGGGCCAAGGGTAGAATGGTCATTTTAGCCCATGCATGGATTAAGGATTATGGTATGGGACCCCATTGTTGATTAAGTATATTGATCGGTATTGATAGCTCAAGAAGTGGACAGGGCAGCGGCTAAGGATTCTTTCAGGGAGCTTCTGCATTCGATGTGAGTCTTCTCACCATACCAATGGGTCTAAGGCACCAAGGTCGGCCCATTTTATGTTATGTGGTTTGATAGTTAGCTTTAAGCTAGGTGGTATGCTAGTAATCATATGATATGTGGTATGCTAGTTGTCTTTGTGATACTTGCATGGAAGACCTCGAGGGGAGCTCGTGGCATTGGATGTAAGACCATGTAGGGTAGCACATGGCATTCCTAGGTAAAGACCATGTGGGGTAGCCCATGGCATTGGATGTAAGACCATATGGAGTAGCCCATGGCATTCCTAGGTAAAGACCATGTGGGGTAGCCCATGGCATTGGATGTAAGACCATGTGGGGTAGCCCATGACATTCCTCGGTAAAGACCAAGTGGGGTAGCCCATGGCATCATTACAGGTTTATGTATGCATGGCTTATGTGGTATGTGTAGCTTTACAGCTAATATGATATGTGTTATATGGATTGTGTGGGGTATGCTCTGGGGAACTCATTAAGCTTCGTGCTTACAGGTTTGTTTATGGTTTCAGGTATCATCGTTTTGGAAAGGAAGGACTCAGAAGGATTGCAGCGCACACACCTATGAATTCCGCAACGAATGATTTTAGGATGAACTCTGATAAAGGATTTACTTGACAATGATTTGAAATGTTTGGATTAAATGGTATCAATGTTTTAGCTATATTAAAAATGAAATTTTTACCCTTGATTTTTGGGTCGTTACACCGTTTTCGACGTTCTTTATATCCCTTGATACCTCTCTACGAGCTCTACAACTTTCATTAAGGTCTCAACATCTAATTCTTGTTCTTACAAAAACTCATATTTAGACCGGTTTAGACTGTTAAAGCCCGTGCGAAATTTATAACTTCTTCATATGAAATTTGTTCTCGACTGTCTTTATATCAACGGGTTCATATTCACAAAATCTTTAATTGTCATTTAGATTGTTTCAGCTAACAATTAAGCGATTTGAATTTTGATTTTTGTGCCCGCATTGTTGCACTAAAACTTCCAAAAATCACAACTTTCTTTCACAAAGTAGGATGTTGACGTTCTCTATATGAACGCTCTCGGTTTAACCACTACTACGACTTTCGTTTAGATTACTTAGGTAAAAAGGTAATTTATCAAAAATTCACTCTTTTCGATATGTAGAGTCGTGTCGGTTTAATCGCGAAACTTTGAAGAATCATAACTTATTTATCTGAAATTAGATTTCATCATTCTCTATATGTATGTAACCCTTGTCACATATAAAATAACCTTGGTTAAGGCTATTTATCCTAAATAATATTTTATCAAAAAGTCATTTTTAACGTTTATTATATATTAATTGATTAGCCTGATTATGTGGGTATTACATAGTGTCCACCCCATGACTTCCTCTTTCGGAACACTCGAGAGAGAAGTATCAAGAAATTAAACATTTCAATCATGTAGGCGACCCTGCGTTCCCGATCTGCTACTCAAAAATCCGGTGAACATTATTAATGGATCGACCCTACTGAAAATCAAATCTATCAACCACCGTCGACAATGTTATAAAATCAACAACGCCAAGTGAGCTTTGTATCGAAGACCACTCTTCCCCTAACATATTTTTTTATTCTTTTTCTCTCTTTCTCTTTCTCTTACTCCACCATCATCAAACCTGCAAAACAAGGATATTTAATAGAAGACGATGCATGTTCAAGGGATAAGATGGGAACAAGATGCAACAGAGAGGATTTCATATAGGGTGGGATGGATGGTGACGAAAAAGGGGCAACATAACCGTTTTGGTGATGGAACTCCGACGAATGTGTGGAATGATGATGGGGTGTATTTTTTATGTTTTAAACTATTTATGGTTAACTGAATGGCTAACAGATTCCTAAAATTATATTTTTTATGTTTTAATATGTTTTTGAAAATGAAAAACGAGCATATATAAGATCCTAATTTTAACAGTCTTTCTCATATGGATGGGGGTTTGGGGGTGGACCCATTTTTGGTTAATAATAAATTAATTAAAAAATATATTTGTTATTTAAATATTTATTTACCTAATTAAAATATTAAAAAATCTTATAAGGGTAGTATAGTTATTTCAGGTGTGGAAAAGACAAAGCACGCAATAAAAAGAAATTATATGGATGGTCCAAGTTAAAAAGAAAAAGAGTTAAGGACTGAACATGCAAATTACCCCAAATCATAGGGACTATTCGTATAATTTATTTATTTTTAATTATAATTGTAAAGTATTTTTAGGGGATAAATTTCTATTATAATAATAATAATAATAATAATATAATAGTTAAGTAAAATAAAGTAAGATGTGTTAAAAAAGAAAACTTAAACTATTATAATAAAAGTAATCATTAATAAGATGTGGATGCAACAAATAAACCAAAACACGTTAGTAATGTGATTTGATTTAAAAGGTACTGAGACGTTTAACATACTTGCTAATAAAAAAAATGAGCATCTAGTAAAAATTAGCTCATAAGCTTAAGTTTAGACCATCTCTTATCAACCACTAAAATTGTGTTTTGCAGGTGAAAATCCCTCCAATCGACCTGTAAATTGAACGGAAAAACGGTGTAAATAAACAGTGATCCACCAAATTTGGCGGTCTACTGTTCACTCCGGCAAAATGAAGATATTAATAATATATGGAATTTTGTAAGTGGTATTACTCTTTTTGGCATGAAGACCCATCATGGATGGAATGAATCTATGTGGGAATTAGAAAGCAAGATTACTTTTATTAAAAATAATTAATAAAATATAAAAGTAAGTTTTTATATATAAGGTTTAGTGGATGGTTGGATTGGAACCTGTATTTTGATGTTAAAATAACACCAATTTAATGTTTTTATGGAGGCTATGGTTGAAGTTCCTCTTACAAGATTATAATAAAAACAAGGGATCATAAATAAGATTTTGATGCAACAAATAAACCAAAATACATGCATGTTATTAATGTGATTTGATTCAAAAGATACTATAATTATATATATTATTTAATCAAAACTAGCCGGAAGATATCAAACCATATAAAAAAAATAGAAAATA